TATAAAACTAGTCTCTAAATGAAGCTATTGGTGTATATTTATCAGGCAACCGTTTTTGACTAGCATTATTTAGAGTGGTTTTAATATTATCCAGCTTATTTGCGAAAATTGAGATAGACCATCCTTGTAAAATTTTAGTTTAAGGTACGTAGCCTCGTTGACATAATAGTCCGTTACCATCCGGGTCTCCATTATATTTTGTTCTAAAAAGTTGCCATAAAAATACCAAGAATATGCCGTATAATATGTCGTATTCTTTGAAATTTTCGGCTATTATACTTTGTTATACTCTAACTTTTCACGCACTTATTTAAAATTATTTTACAACCGTGACCTGTTATGATGACCCGAGAATAATTCAAACCGAGTTTTTTCGAGTTTCATATAGTAATTTGCATTAAAACCATTTGAAAATTTCTTGCTATCTTAGTGGAGACGAACATGCGATTTGCAAAACATTTGACATGGGTTCACGAAAATTACGTCCGATACGATTCTCGTGCTCTACCAAAGTTTAAATTGAGCAAAGGTAATCACGGCTTTTCGTTATATGTAGTAGTCACGAACATATTCAAACCAAGATGTTATTTTACTAATTTAACTATAATGAATCTCTTTTTTACGAGCTACGAGTCAATGCGTTCATTGATTCACGAATAATTTACGACTTATAAAGAGCAAGATTTAGACACTTTATTAGAAAAGTTTTAATTGGTGAATGAAAATAAGAAATGGATTAAAAACAAATCATCAGCTTAGTATATTAAAACCTAAGGAGTATTAATTGAATCGGAATAGATGGTGGAAAAAAATAATGATGCATTTTCATCATTCGCGAGTGTAAAAAAGAATGATGTTACAATTAGTGTAACAACACAGAAACCTGTTGATGTCCAATCAGCTGAACACATTATGTCATCTTTATAGTTGACTGAAGCACTTCGTAACTAAGTGATCCACAATTGGTTAAGTTACCTAAAAACATTGCGTGCGTCGCCTATTACAACTACCTTGTGTTCAGTGAAAGCCGTCAGTTACTCAATCCACGGTAATAGCATCAAAGTCCGATTCACGACCAGAGACAGAGCACCACTGGTATCTCTTTCATTAGTAAAAATTAAAATTCCAATTAATAGTTATCTCAGCGCGGTGGAACCTGTTCGCTTCCGGAGTTACGCCAAACCAGTTCGGCGGCGGCGCCTAATTCTTTCTTTTTTGGGCATTTTTTAAGATTCGGCGGTGCATCCGTGGTCTCTCATTATATAATTTTGGTAACAAATTGGGTATCTCCGCTTGTTTTTCTTTATTACATTTACAGAATATAGTGGGTATAAGGTAAGTACTAAAAAGATACGATATCATAGATATTAATCGAAATTCTGCTTTAACGACCGTTTATGATAGACCAAGAGCGAAAGACTCATAATTCCTAAGTTTTTCTTACCGCAAGTTTCAGTTATCAAACTTTAGTAACAGTATCTAATTGTTTTTTTTATCAGTGTATAAAAAAATTACTCTAAGAAATTATAATAAAAGCATCCTATGATCATCATCCATACAGTATTTATTAGATAAAAAAATACCGGCCAAGTGCGTGTCGTGCCACGTGCAGTGTAGGGTTCCGTAATTGCCTGTAGTTACCACAATATATTTGAGTAGGAGTCTTTGTTTTCTATATCGGAAATTAGAAAAACCTATATATATCCTCCCAGGCGGGGGAACGGGTGTGAAATCCTCAAGGATACCCGGCTGCAAGGATATGTTAGACTCTTACTGACTAAAACACACCCGTAGTTCATGCTTATATCCAGAAGGTTTACGCTGTAATAACTTCATGTATGTCACTATTAATGTTTTCTTCTAAAGAATTTTTAAAGAGTTAGAAATTTTCTTTAACCAAAATTGAACGACTATGACTCTTAAATTAATAAATATATATTAATCGTTATAGTTTTAATAAAAAGATAATGATAAGCACTATTATCATTAATTTTTCCAGGTTTTTCTAGCCAATAGTTAAGCTTTTAGAAGGGGAGGGGGGACCCTGTTCGAACAAAAATTAACACTAACTCAATATTTCGCACACATATTTCTAAATCGAATACTAGTCTTAAAAATCCCTAAGTTATTTTGAAAGACCGATTCAAAGATATCCCACTCGATGGGGTAGATGCTGAAAAAAAATACTACCCTTAAAAAAATATTTTTCAAAATTTTAAGCTACCATTTTGTCGGCGTTATCGATATACATATCTCCCCAAAATTACAGCTCTCTAGTGCTAATAGTTTCTAAGCAAAACTGGGGACGGACAGACGGAGATGATGAAACTACTTATAGTTTTTAGGGTTCAGTGAACCCTTTGGTTCACGGAACCCTAAAAACAGTAGGCTTAAAATTAAAAAGTAATGAAGGAGTGCATTCATGATTAACATAGAAAGGTATGAAAATAAATTGATAAGGCATTACTGCAGCTACAAGATTACTCACCAGTTTAGAACTAATGGAATGATAAGATTGTTTTCAATAATCCTAATATAGAATATGCTTGTAAAAGTCGATATCTGGGTATAGATGGCCATCAATTTACTTTGCTATTTATGGAGAAGAGTCTTAACACAAGGATAAAGTTTTTGAAAGGAGGAATATTATTACTATTTTAATACCAGTAAATAATAACACAAGTATAGTATTAGAAACTATATTAATCAAGCTCTCTGAATATATCTTTTTGTCAATAGTTGTACAATAAATATTAAATTTAAATATAGCTTTCATGATCCTTTTAAACTACTTACTTACGATCTTATAATCTTTAAGGCAATTTTCTCTTGAAGAAGGGACTTAGCTAATTTGTAAGTAATTAAACAAATGATTTGGTTTTCCTTTAATAAAACATTCATGCAAAAAATTTACAGATCGCGTAAAAGTGCGACAATCTTTGCGTCGACTAAAAAGGAATAGAAAGATTTTAGCAGTAACCGTATCTTATACATTTTCTTTCTTATTGTCTTAAAACCACAAGTCTTGGAATAGTTAAAGCGGCTTTATGTTGTCTATTATTTGATAATTAATATGCATTACATCGATGTTTTACATAAAACGACAGTAAAAACAACAATTAATACAATTTATGAGGGAGTAGTGACATTTAAAAAACAACAAATTTGTTATGGAGTGGTCCGATACCGGCACAGGAATGCGTTCACTTTTTAATGTCCCTCGAGTTTAACGTTTTAATTTTATTATTATCGATTGATATAAAGCAGATTATCGAGTTAAGGACGCTATGTACATTAAAAAGTGGCTCGTTTCGCCAACTGGTTTGTAGCAGTATCAATTTAACTTGTCAGTTACAATGCTGTTCTTGAAACGAGATTCTGTTCTGAATATTTTTGAGTGTCTTACGAGTCAAGACGTTTAATTACTGTGGTCGGCGTTGATGAATTGTCCAGATTAATACACGAGACGGTCTGGTGGCATCCAGGTCGCAGATGCGCGCTCGCAATACGGCCCATTGCGGCCGATCTCAATGAGCTCTGTTCTGTCTGATCTCATAATACAAAAAAATGGATATTTTACAGATTAACAGAGATACATTCGTAACGTGGATAGTTAAGTAGTACACGTTTCATATACATGCTGTTTATTGAAATCGCCCCATTTTGAGGAGGAGTTCGTGAAAAAGGCTCCGTCTATAGTGAATCAGAATTACTATTTAAATAAGATATATGATTCCCACCCATGAACGTTGTTAACACATAATTAATTAATTTAATAGATATGCGTGTTTTTGTACAAAACATTGATATTCAGGACAATCGCAATGTTACCACCGTCTGCGGTAAATTCAACGACCGACCTTGAGATACGCAGAATACGATAAGCTAAGTGATGAAACTTGAAAACATTCAATACATGAGGGATAAGTATCAATTATATTGCAATTATCAGTTATATTCAAATAGACAAGATCAGTGGTGCATGCACTGAAATGAATCTACATCGACGAAGTAGGAATAGTGTATTGAAACAAAAATAAACAAATATTTGTTTAATGAACTATACAAACATTAGGAGGAAGTACTTGAGGCTGAAGTACAAATAATGACAGTCATCTCGAGTGTTTATTATAAACTAATCGTAAGCAGGAGTCGTTAAAGTGTATAACTAAAAGTGCCAGTCACTGATGGAGTTGATGGGAAGCAAGCGGATATCGAGCGCGCGCCGGATCATGCAGTGTATCATTTGATATCAAAAATAATGGAATAAAAATGATTCTTCTTCAGTAATGAAACAATAAAATACAAAGAATGATGTTAGCACACAAAAACTTTACAGTTATAGAAACAATTAACAAGTTGGATGTGCATACAGACAACGGTAAAGCTTATGCTGTAATAATAAATACGGTTTGTTTCAATAGGAGCAGCTGTACTATGCATAGCTTTCGGTAACTCTTTTATGTTTCTGTTGGAGTGTAAAAATATACGCGCGTGTTGACGCTCTAGCAACTTTGAAATGCGTTTTTACTAATACCACTTTTGTGCTTCGAAGTCGATGCTGTTGTGTTTTGGTAATGTTTTAATGTAAATGTGGGGGCGTGCTCTTAGAATTCAATCTTTCCAGTAACAATACTGGAAAGATTGCATTGTCTTCCTTTGGTTATTGCTTTGCATTCTAAATGACTTTGACTGGCATGTTAAAAAAGGGACGCATTTATTAATGAATTTTCTTGAACTATAGAATATTTCTTTTGTAAGTCTTCTTTTTTGGGTAGATATTTCGCCTTCACTTGTAATTTTTATAATATAGCTCTAAAGTAATAATACATAATAAATTAGTAATAAAGTATATATATATATATATATATAGTGTGTATTCCTTTGCTATTTGGAAATGGTCATTAATTTATTTCTTTTTTCATCTGTTTTTTATACAATTTTCCACCAATAGGTTTATAATTATAATAATCTCGTTTGTTTACAAACAATCTACTTACGGTGATGTCAAAAATTTTAGTGGTCGCCACAAAAATCGTTCCAGTTATCGGGCACGAGAAAAGCACATGTCATCACAACACTAAGGACACAGGAGTCACAGAGTCACGGTGCGTGATAGCTGAGGAGACGTCCGATCGATCCCACTGCGGGTCCGTGATACGATAAATTAAGCGTGGCTGATGCGACACGTACAAAGAGCTTGGTGTGCGCGGCGCGACTGGCGGCCGGTGGGCGAATCGCGGCTTGCGGGGCTGTGGGGGAGTACTCAGAATGTCCGTAAACGAAATGTCATATATAAAATTTTATGAAAGAAGAATGGCAAAAATCAAATGCACTGCCTGTGGTACGTGGTTAGATACTCATGTTAATATGCAAAAAAATACTCGTTTACCATAAAATTTAGCCTTTGCAACATTACTGATTACAGGAAAACAATATGTAATGAAAAAATAGTCGGTCGGTTTGGCTGTTGCAGTATTTTTTAAGTTTAGGTCTTTTTACCTTCCTAGGTCGGCGCTGAGTTGACCAAAAATCTGCTAAGCTCGAAAACTCCAATCTAGGTATCTCTAATCATAACATGACCAAAACAATCACATTTACTGACAACGTTTTGTAAACCTTTAGTAGGTAACTACTCGAATCTTCGCTTACGAACATTCAGAATAGTCCCCCTGCTCCCACTACGATGATAAGCTGCATGCGACAAGTGCAACCATTCATAGCGTATCTGCAGTTTTGGTTGCCGAAAGCGGATGATAGTGTTTCGTTTGGCTTAGCTCAGTTTTTTTTAATTCGTTTTATTTATACCCGTTCTGGCGTCGAGTCGCTAAAAATAGGGGTAATGTCTGTCGTTTCTTCGTTATGGTTTGTATTTTTTCGCCTTTTGGTTTCTTTCTCTGACTAGATAATCTTATTTATAATATCTTTGTTGAACGATACCGTGGTGTTTTCTGTTTTGTCTCAGTTAGTTTATTGATCTTTTAGTCAGTAAAACTTCTTTACCTTTGCGGCATTTTTCAGCTATTAGATATTTCCTACATCTTTATTAAGAGAATTACCTATAATAACCTAGGCCTAACTCGAGTTCGTGACTTTGAATATCTCAATTCTTTGCATGTCTTTATTTGGTTTGGGTAAACTGTTTAACGACGCGTCAACATGGATTCTGATCAAAATATAGGTAACATTGAAGGAATCGTAATCTCAACTAAAGGTCAGACGGTTAGTGCCTTTACGCGGCAAACCTACAAACAAAAAATAACTTTCATTTGGCATTGCTAACATAAAAAAGAAACCTATCTTACGAGAGAAGAAGAAGAGTACCAATTTACCCGTACTTGTTCCCTTGAAAAATTATGCATAATCAAATTCTTATCTACTACTACTACTGATAAAAGTGGCGTGACAAATACATAAGTAAATTGAAAAAAAAACAACAACAGTACCTTGGTTTTATAGTAAGATTAATACCTAATTTTTGACGTTTTGAACTTTTCCCGTGACCGTGGTCAAATGTATTAAAAGTTTGAAAAAGAATGAAATATCAAAAAAAATATATACATACCTAATACCTACCCATACACTTAATAAGTGATTGCGGTAACTGTATAGGTATCCCAGCTATCGATGTGGGTGGTCTATGTATGTACTGACATACATTATTTATAGGAACAACAAATAGATTTTTGTTATTTGACACCGAATATTATGCGAACAACTGACCACAAAAATAATGATAACATGCTATTTCACATTATTAATTGTGCGTCATTCTATTATACGCAACTTCATATACTATAATATTCATTCACAAATTCGCTAATAATAATAAGCGCAAATGATAATAAATGAATCAAATTGTCTCTCGAAAATTAATGAACGAATGAAAACAAGGAACTCGTATTTTTCCTTCTCTTTTACGGGATAAAATCGTTACGGGGTTAAGAGTTTGTGTTCGAGTTGTATGTGTAGGTATACACCTATCTTCGTAGTGACAAGTTGAAGAAAGTATGAAATTTAAGTAAATAAATATGTAGTTATAAAAAGACGAATTTTTGCATTGTTGAACATAAAATTCTCATTAAGTACTTCTTTAAACGATTGCAAACTCTTATGTAATCTGTTTATTTTAAATATTTTTTATGGTTGTATGCCAACATAATTATCCGTACGCAATGAAAGTGTTTACGATAAAACAATGTGAACATTGCGATTTTTGTTGCAAGAGTGTTTGGCAAGCACACTCGCAAGTTGATACGAAGGTAAAGTGAAATAGATGCGTATTACATTTACAACCGAATATTTTAACGTGATAATTAGGTATATCACGAATTAGACCGACTGAAAAATATGTCGATGTTGGTATGAAATTAGGTAAAGTAAGGTTTTAAAATTATAAGGCTATTGATCAATCTTGAAGACGCTCGATGTTACAGAAATCTTCCAAAACATCGGGCATGGAAGGATGGGTAAACCAAAATATAAAAATTTCAAACCTTAAGTAATGATAAATAAATAAAATTAGTTTGAAACAGATATACATGGTTTGATAGATTTTGATGTAGAGAAGATAATGTTTTGTTAATAATTGGCTAATGGTAAAGAAATATACAGACATACACAAGTGCATAATAGGTAATATTACCTATTCTATATTTACTTAATAGTTAAGGCATCGTATAATATCGATTTTTACTCAGATATTGTCAGATTATTCCATCAGCTAGGTAGCAAAAGGTGTTGATAAAGATTTTTCCTTATCAGCGTCTACAAATTTGCACGTTCTTACTAGTGATGTGCCGGATCGTCAAAAATGTAGATCCGCGGATACGGATCTGAATACAGACATTTGGTGTCAAGATCCGCAGATGCGGATACGGATCTTAAGTTAAGATAAGAATATATGTCAGAAAAAAGATTACCAAGAGATCAAGACCAACTAAAGTATTGGCAAATTAACAGTAAAAAGTTTGGAGGTCTTAGTCACATTGCTCGCACATATTGCACCTGCAACAAGTATTCCAAGTGAGCAATTTTTTAGTGCAGCAGGAATTGTTTATGATCCTCATTGTAAAAGACTTTTGGGGGACAAAGCTGCCAAGTTACTCTTTTTGAAGTATAATTTACCACTGCTAATTTCAATTATGACTTATAATTTTTTTAAGTTCCTCTAATTGTCATTGTGATTTTTATCTAACATTAACACTGTATGTATCACGCAGTACTAGTTTACTTGATTAAAACATTATTTGATTGGAATTTAAAATATTACGAAGATCTAAGTTTTGTTTTCTTAATAAAAAGTGATCTTATAACTTTTTATAATATTGATCTCATTAAAAAGCTAGTTGATTTGGTACCTTGTAGTTATATACTATTGGTATGATAACTAACTACTGCAAAGTTTGCAACATAAAGGAGCCAAATATTTGATTTTAAGAAATAAAAGAATATCTGTATTGAATTTAATAGTTTTTTATTGCTACCTAATCACCTATTTAAGGCAAAGTGTAAGGCGCACTAGCGACGCCAATTGCTTTAAATTGTTAGCTACTAAACCAGATCTATTTCATAATTGTGGACCGTCAGAATCTCGGCAATTGGCGTCGCTAGTGCGCCTTACCCTCTTCACCTTGTAGGTGACTTACACTTAATTTCTTTATTTATACATAATTAATTCACATACTTAATTATATTTACATTACGCTTACATCTAAACTTATATTTATTTAACAACACACAAATATATTTTATAATAATTATACTTACACAATTTAATATTCACTAAAATTATCTTTATACAAAATTATATTTATCTACATATTATATTATTTACATCATCCGAACATTTGCCGGATGATACGGTATTGCCCACTCGCCGTCGTGAAATGGAAACGTGCAACTCAATAGTCGCCGGACCGGTTTCCCTATACAAGCAGCGCGAGCGCACAACGCAGTCACGCATACCAGTCGAGATTGATACACCGCGCGAAGCCTATGTCACTCGATACTAATTCCTAAGCTTTCGCTAGCTCGTAAAGTGCTTTTGCTTAATAATATTATAGCCGTAGTTATCTGTGCTGTTTTTTGCTTTGCTTACTTTCCGAACTATCTATTCTTCTTGTGTACTTCCTTCTGTACTTTAATATGTGTGTGTAATTGTGTGTTGGATTATAAACACTACGTGAGTTAATCTGGACAATTATTATTGTGAGTAATCACGCCACCGTTTCTCATACGTATGAACGTTAACACCTCCGCACACCATAACTGGTGACCTCCGACAGAACACATTAGTCACAAGTTCACAACCATCATCGCTAATTACTCTGTACCTGGAAATCGACTACCAATATTTTTGTCAAAAAGATGGCTAGTGATAGCGATGATTCTACAAGAACGATTCGGGAAAGATCCACGAGTGACGTCAGACGCCAAGACGGCCATTCCGAAGTGCGCGTGTCCACTACACCATCCGACGTTTATCGAGTCGGAGTTCGTGTCGCACCTTTTTGGCCGGATAAACCTGCGATATGGTTCGCACAATTAGAAGGGCAATTTGCAATATCGAATATCACTGCAGACACGACAAAATTTTATTACGTCATTTCTCAACTCGACAACCAATATGCAGCAGAAGTTGAGGACATCATAATTACTCCTCCAGAGACAAATAAATATCAGAAGCTCAAAAGCGAGTTAATTAAGAGACTCTCAGCTTCAAAAGAGAAGAAGGTGAAGCAACTCCTTATGCACGAGGAACTTGGCGATAGAAAACCCTCCCAGTTCCTCCGCCACCTGCAGAACTTAGCTGGCCCTGGTGTTCCCGAGGATTTTGTGAAGACGATCTGGTCTAGCCGCCTGCCTCACAACATGCAGCAGATCATAGCTTCCCAGACCACCTCTTCACTGGAAACCTTAGCCGATCTTGCAGACAGAATCCAGGATATCGCTCCTTCAGCTCCAGTAGTTGCGTCCACTTCTGCTACCACCTCAGCCGGTTACAATCTGGAAAATATGGCTCGACAAATTACAGCGCTTACCAAACAAGTTAAGGCACTGACAGCGGACAGATCCAGATCCCGTAACAGATCCATCCCCCGTCATCGAGGTCGATCAGCATCTTCCCGGAGATCGAGTTCCCGCTACAAGAAGCAGCCACTCTGTTGGTACCATGCCAAATTTGGAAGCAAGGCTCACAAGTGCATCGCCCCCTGCGATTTCAAGC